GCTTTGGAAATGCCTTCTCTAGCATCTTAAAAATAGAATAGGCATGTCTTTGAGAAGATGGATTAAATTTAACTCTTCAAAATGCTGGTCTAGCTGTGTCAAGGTCTCTTCCAGTCACAATCTGCTATGACCAAAGTATTCTTTCAGTAAAAGGTAGGCAGATCCACTTGGTATACTATATTAGTAACAAGGGATGAGGATTCATAAAAAAAGAAAAGGATTCCATATAGTAGAATGCAGATAATAGCCCAAGTGAAGCAAATATTAGCCCAAACTGCTATCCAAAAGATTATCTGGATACATGTTCAAGGTGGAATAGACTTCCAGTGACTCTGCATGGTCTATTTAGCTTAAAGTGAAATATGTTTCCTGAGATACTAAGATTATCCTTTAACATAATTCTTATGGTCTGTTATTGTGGTTTCAAAACAAATTAAATTATATTTTATCTACTATGAAAACCGCAATTTGAACCATTAGTGATGGGTCATGGGACCACCATGAGTAACAGGCAGAGCATCCACAATTCTGCTATAACCCAATCCTGAGCAATCATAAGATCTTGATTGACACCCCAGGGCACTGACAGCCATTAAATTATTTATTGCTACCAAAGGGACCAGGACATATTAAATGAGGTCAAATACTTTGGCAAGAGTGTAGAGGCCTTAGATGATACGTGCTTCTTTCACAGATCTCATCTGTAACAAGTATGTATTTGTTAACTATTTAGCACTAAATTCACATTTTGACTCGTTGAAAATGTTAAGACTTAAAAGAAAGAGTAAGTAAAGGATGAAGTTCCACCCCAGATTCTCTTGAGGTTTAGGGGGAAAGGTGAAAAAGAAAGAAAAAAACTAACTTTTTTATCATAGGGCAGAAATTCATTTCCTTTCATCAACTCTAATTGTTTTTGTGGCTGTTGTTCTCTGTTCATGAAACAAAAGGAAGGGTTAGGATACAGCTACTTTGCTTTGGTGTTTGCACCCGTGTAAGGTTTACTAGTCTTGAAAAAGTAATAACAAATTATGTGCTTACAATATTGCAATATTATGTTGTTATCAAGACATGGTGTAGTGGAAATAGGAGTTGGGACATGAGTCAGGACACCTGGTTTGAATACAGACCCTGACATTTGCATGTTGTATCTAACCCTGGGCAAGTCATGCAAGCCTTCTGAGCCTTGGTTTTCTTATTCATAAAATGAGGGTAATATTATTGCACTAGCTATCTCACAAGGTTATTGTGAGAAAAATGCTTTAAAGACCTTAATTTGGAGGCATCACACTATGGTCTAATGGAATGAATACTGGATTTGGAATCACAGAACCTGGGAATCTAACACTTACTGTTATGCCTAATCCCAGTGTGACCTTCTGCAAGTTAATTTTTCACTCTGTGAATCTCAGGTTCCTCATTTGCAAAATGAGAGAACTAGAATAGATAACTTCTGATACTACTTGCAGCTATAAAGTGACAACATGATTCTATGATCTAAATATAATGAACAAGAGTTAAATGGAAGTACTCATTGTAATATAAAAAGGAATAGATTTTATGTGGTGGGAGAAAATCCAACCCAAATTAGAAAAGAGCTATCACCAAATTGTTGAGGTTTGCAAATGCTTTTTTAAAATGCCATTGGGTATAATTAGATTTTAAAATACAGATATAATTGTTTTATATTCAATTGTGTGTATTTATTGGAAAATAAATATCTTTCAATAGAAAATTCTTTCTTCAAGGAGCCCTGAGTGCATTCCTGTTAATTCATTTGTATGTTATTTAATTATTTAAACACTGGCAAGACCCACCTACTGATGACTGTAGTTAATAAAAGAAAGCCTATTTCTTTTGTTCCAGAAGCAGAGCCCATGGTGAAGCCATTCCCATTGGCTACCTCCTGGGTTTGTTTCCTTCAGAGTTAGAAAGAACACAACTTGCGTAAAATGATAAAATTTCTGTGTACAGACTTGTCTTCATGTTTACTTTTCCTTTGTCTTCATGGAACAATATGTGCTCCCTCTGGTGGCAAAAGCAGTGTCCTTCATTTCCCACTGCAGGTTAATGAGTTTGGGTAACCAGAATGCCAAGGAAGCTCTTAAGGTTTCACAAATACTAAGTTCCAAATTTGGCTAAAATCATCATTTGACAAATGAATTGAAGAGTTCCTTCTGAATTTCACATGGAAGCTGAGTTCCCATCCAGAAAGTCTGGCACTGAACCAAAGCATTTAGTCAGAGGCTGGTTGGGAAAATTTTTTTTTCTTTGAAAGATAGGACTTCACTCAGGAGTGACTGGGAGACTCAGAGAAATATCAAATTATGCAGCCCACACAGTAAAAATCATTGAGGATAATATACCAAGTCAATGTGCTTCACCAGAAAAAGGAAAAACAAAATTTTACAGGATGGAAATGTAATTTAATAGCAGAACAAGCACTTGACCAGGAACTGTTGTTCATTTCGTCCTCAAGGCGGGAAAAATTAAAAATACTCAGGCGGTTAAATTGCAATACATTTGAAACCCCATCACCCATGAAAACTCTAATTATGATTCCACTTTTCTATTTAGCCAACTTGGGAACATATGCAGTTCCAAACAAAGAACAGAGATCACTTTCAGAGACAGACAGTGATGGTGACACAAAGAAAAAGAGGAGAGACAGAGACACAGACAGACTGAGAAACAGACATGGAAAGACAAAGACAGAGAGACAGAGACAGACTAATGAGCCAACATATTGACTAACTGAAAGATAGACACACAGAGACAGAGACACAGAGAGACTTGAAACATAAGAGCTCCTAAAAATGAAGCAGAGACAGCATTCATCCCCAAGGAAGAATACTGACTACATTGAATAGAGTTGTTCCAACGTGTTTAGATTTCCCAAGTTGGAATAGGGTTAAATGTGTGGTTCTCATTTTACTGAATGTTGGGAAGGAGGGAGAAGGTAGTAGGGGAGAATAATTCCTTCTTCTTGTCCTTTTTTAATGCCAAAGAAAGTCGGGAGCCAACTATTCACCAACCAGAAATATCTCACCCACAGGACATTGCCTCATTGAAGGAAGCTAAAGTTCAGGCACTAAGGTCAAGGTGAAGACCAAATATCATTTAATTTATAATTCCCAACTATTGAAAGTAGAAATCAGATGTTTCTCATTAAATAGTATGTCTAGATGCACAATTCTTTCAAGTGAGTTCCCTTGGCAAATTTTGAAGACATTCTAAACTTCATATTACCCAACATAACCTCAAGCAGGTAGAATTTCTTTTGTAAAGAAATCTAGGTCAATGTAATCCTAGCTGTAGGGAGGTGGATGCCAGGAAGTCTACAATGTACTTTAACGTCAGCCATAGTTCAATTAAATAAATCCCATCCTCTTAAGTGGGAGTCAAGAGACTGCTAAGGGAAAAAGTAGTGCAAACACATTTGTCAGTGAGTGCTCTGATCTGTGTGTTTCTTTCAACTCATTCATGTGATGGGCTAACCCTTCAAGGGGACAATTCCGTATTTCTTCTAAGTGAAATTGGGGCTTGTGAAAAGGATTTTGGTAGAAACAATAGACGTTGAAATGCCATGGGTAGCCACTGCTCCTGCAAAATGAGAATTCTCCACTGGTTGGTTTTTATCTCTTGTACTTATTAAGAGGAATCCATTTCATTGTGATTGAAACAACCATCTCCACGACACTGTCAGCTTTGTATCAGGAGATCTGGTGGCTTCCCTTTGAATATTTGTAGAACAACTTATGATGTATTTAGGTTTTTTTAACTATTACAGCAGAAATGTTGTCTTCTCATTCATCCTTCTTATTCCTCCTCCTCCTCCTCTTCCTCCTTTTTCTGCTTCTGCTTCTCTGTCTCCCTTTTTCTCTGCCTCTTTCTGCTCCTTTAGTTCTCATTAATATCCCTTTATCTCTGACAAATGTTAGTTGTTTTTAGAGAAATAACAAAAAATAATAATAAGTTCCCCAATAAACATTTCAGAAAACTGTGTTAATTGGAAAAAGTCCCTAAAGGCAAGAGCCTTTTCTTATACTGGCACCCTTGCCAGCCTGGTTAGTCTATATTCTTTACCCTTCTCTCAAGAATTCCATAAAGAATTCAACTATGAAGAACCTGACCCTACCAATGCAGAGTATAAAGGATATCTGGGGTTTCACCAAAACTATTTGGCAACATGCTACATAGGTAATTTGTAGACAATGTGCCTGGCTGGTTCTTATTTGTTATACGGTATTTGGGAGAAAAGTAGTGTTTCAAGAAATGCTTCCTTTACCCCATTTCTACCTGTGAGTAGCATTCAAAACAGCTACCTGATAAAAAGCTATGATTCTCTAGCTTTTTCCACCCCTTCTATCATGTCTCTCAACTGTAAGAAAGGGAAAAGGGAAGAAATGTTGATGTGACCATAGTTCAGGATGGGGGTTGAGAAGTTCAGAACTGGAAGGGACTGGGAAACAGTCCACAGATATGAAAGGATTTCCTCTAAGGTAAAACAGATTGTAATTGGCAGATTTAGGATTTGAACTTGCATCCTTGGACTGCAAATCCAGAACCCTTAGTATTATAATATCATAGGTTTGGAACTTTGAAAGACTTTAGAGGTATTCTACTTCAACATTTTCCATTGGACACCTTCTTTATAATCATTAAACTACAAGAATGGTGAAAATCAGAGCTTCCAGACTAGAAAACATACACAGCAATAATCATGAAATTGATGTCTTACATCTTGCCTAATGAGATGATGCCTCCTAGAGAAGATAACATTAATGTGTACTCTGTTCCCAAACATCCCCATGATTTGTTCATGGTCCTTAGAACATCATTTTAATTCCTTTGTCTCAATCTTCCTATTAATAAAGTACAAACTTTTTTTTTTTTGTAAAATGAACTTTCAAAACTTAGGATGAAAGATCCTGTATAAAATCTCAGTGTTATTTTGTGAATGCCACTTTCAAGAGGAGTGAGGTTTCCAACAAATGTGTTTGAAGCAGATATAGATAGCACTTGATTTTGTCAGGATACCACATGTGGCTACACATCTAGGAAAGCAAAGTCACATATTTGCTTTTAAAAGAAATACATATAATTTAATAATAATCCCATGAGATTTTAAATCATTGATTACAGAAAACCAAACATATACAAAGTACAACTCATTCACTAGTGGACATGATAAGTTTTGTAGCCTGGAATAATTTTATTTAGATTTTACCTAGAATGGTTACTATTTCAGAAAACTTGAAAGGTGCTGCTTTTCCTTTTTTCTCTTTTAGCCCTCTAAGAATTAACTCTATTATGAGGCAACCTATGTGTATAAATCATAAAATCCCAGAATCTTAACATGCTAGGGTTAGAAGACTCTTGTAGACCATCTAATCCAACCCCATCTTTTTACAGGTCAGGAAATCCAGGCCCCCAAAAATGTAGCAGAGTCATACTGCTAGTTAGGAAAAGAACAGTAACTAGAACAGTCTCCCAACTCTTTATCCAAATGTTCTTTGCATTCAATTATTTTCAGGACAGTTTAATGAAATGTACCAGTGACACTTTTCTAACAAATTAATTGATCCCATGACTGACCTGGAATTTGTGGTCTAGGAATAAATTGTATTCCTCCAATATGATTTTCCTCCCATCTGAAGAGTGATAATTCTGGGCATTAATTAGTCCAGGGAGAATTAACCTTTTTGTGGTAGACTGAAATTTCTGGTAAGTTAGGGGTAAGAGGAAAAAAGTTAACTGAAACCAAAGATTATTCTCAAAACTCATTTTAGTCATTTGTTTCCAGATCCCACAAATCATTTTTTTTAACCTGAGCTTCTCCAGGTCAAAAAATACATTTATCCCAGTTTCACTTCCTATTCCTATTCCTTGCCTAAACTTCAAGAAAATGCTGAAAAGCAAATGAGAAGCCCCTCTAATTAATTGACACTTTGTAAAACACAGAGTAGGAGGCAACATAAATTACTTTTAGATCCTTGAAGTTGAGAATTCTGTCTATTACTCCAGGCTGGGGGGGGGGGATAATTCCTAGAAGATAATTTTCTTTATTGGAAGGGTAGTCATATTCAACAGGTAATATCACAGACTTCCACCCTGATTTTTTTTTTGTAACTACTAAACAGCAGTTTTACATCAAGGGTCAAGAGCTTCTGAACTTGAACATTTTATTAGCTATTACGGCTTTAGAGGAATCCTTCTCAAGTTTTACTGCCCACCAGTTTACTCACAAGCCAGAAGTTCTTACACACATTTACGATTCATAATGTTGGCAGCAGTTAGTGGTTGAAATTAACAGATGATGGAACCCCAGAACACCCAAAATAATGATATGTTATAGTATTAGTCAGATTCACTGAGTTGGGAAGGTAGCATTTCCAAGACAGGAGAAACCTCTCAAACTATTATAGCTACAAAATGTTCTGGTAGGAAAGATATCTTGTCTTTTCTCCTGGGCCCTGTTCCAATCTCCTTTCAGGTGAAATTACTGTATGAGGAGCAGAAATAGGAAACTCTCTAGGAAGGCAGTAAGATACATGGATTTCTAGAAAATATACCAAGGGCTTGAAAAAGCAGCAGTTTCATTGGATTTTTTATTCATGTTATAAAAATATAAAATAAAATGCTGTGAATTTTTTGTCCATTTTCCTAGGCAGTGAGGCAATCATCACAGTTCCTATTGTGGACTTCTGGCAATACAGGCTCTCCTTGCAGCACTGGGTCTTCGAGGGAGAAAGCAGGGAAGTAGTAGACTTGGGGATCTGATTCTTTGACCAATAGTGAGACTGAGAAAGCATTTTGGGCAGAGGGTGGTGTCTGGGAAGCCCAAAGGAAGGTGAGGGATTAGGAATCCAGGAGATAGATTGATCACTTCTAAGGCGGATGCGTGGGGAAGGTCCATGGACTTAGGTACTTATCCACTTATGGAGAGAAGGCTAAAAACAGTAAGAACTGAAAGGTGAAATTCAAAAAGGGAGATGGAAGAGAGTAGAAACTAGGTCTCAGTACCTTCATCCATAAAGTAAGGGGATTGGATTAGAAGCTAATCATTAGATGATCTCTAAGGTTATTTTCAGCTCTAAGCAAAAGAAAGTACTGGACAAAACACGGGGATGGGGAAGAAGATTAAGGGGAAAAAAATACCAGCAAAAACAAAAGAGGGTAAAAGAAGAAAAGAAAGATGTAGGCAGAAAGAAAAACAGATAAAAAAAATAAAGAGGAGAACCAAAATATGAAGAGAGAACCGGGAAAAAGAAGGTTAAAAAGAGAAAATGCAGACAGGACAATGAGGAGAGACAGTGTAGAAGGGAAATACGGATAGTCCAGAAAGAATTTTTTAAAGTTTGGCGAAGTTAAATAATCCAGTTAACTATGAGAAAGTGAAAACGGACAAGAAATAAATGAAAAAGCGATAAATTCACCCTTTCCTTTCCTTTCCTTAACTTGGGAAAAAGAGGGGCGGAGATACGCGAGGATGCGTTGGAAAGCAAATGCTTTCGGCGGACAGCGGGTTGCTGCTTTCTTAGCCCTTTCCCAGGCAGCTTAGCTTTGACCCTGGCGGGATAACTTAGGTTCTCTCGGGGGTAAAAGGAACGGATCTCAGCTCGTTTCCTCTCCAATCCTCTTCCCTCCCCAAAGTTGCCCGCTGCATCGGAGCATCCTCCTGGGACTCTTAAAAACCCGCTTGCAATTTTTGCAGGTGCCTATTCCCACCTGATCTCCACAGCCAGGCCTCCCTCCCCTCTCACAGGTCCCATCTCTTCTCGGTTCTCTCAGGCGCCGGGAAGCCACTTGCTCCTCCCTATGAAGACGAAGTCGGAATAGACAGTCCGTGTAGGCTATTAAGGGTGTCTTGGGGTTTGCCGACTGGGCTGGAAGGCTTTCGATCTGCCACTGCGAAAGAAAAAGGAAGCAAGCAAACAAAACAGAGAGTGGGTTGTATGTAATAGGTGATTTCCAATTCAACGAATGTGCAGTCCATATTCCTGCTCTGTTACCCACACACACACACACACACACACACACACACACACACACACACACACACACACACACACACCTGCTATCCAGTTTAGAGGTCAGAGCAACTGCCACTCTGTATCTAATGGAGGGCCGCTCAGGGAAGAAAACTCGACCTGCGTATTCCAGCTGGAGTGCATGTTTTGAAGAAGAAACAAAGACCACACTTTTCTACCAAGGGGCGAAAGATATGGCAACTCCCCAAGAGGAAAGACAGAGCCAGAGGGAAATGCTGGATGCGTCTGGGATGGGCAAAATGGGAGAACAAGCAGGCTTAGGAATTGGGAAAGAAAGCAAGCTAAGGAGACAGGCAGTCCGGAAAGGGGCAAGAGATGCATCTAAGCGGCGGGCGGCGCTGCAGACCGTAGTGCTGAACTGGAAGGAGAGAACAGAGAATCCTATTTTCTCCGTGGCGACTGGCTTCCCCAGGCCTGGGACATTGTAAACGAGCTATGGAACGACTCAGTTTCTCCTACTTCCCTTTCGCTCCCCAGACTGCTGGTCTCCTACAGGCTCGAGCACACGGCACACATGCAAACCGCACGCAGCACATGGCAGGAGACCCGAGAAACCAGGAACTGTTGCTGGTCCTAGTTGGATACCCGTGGTTCTGTGCACAACAATGGGAACCAGGGAACCACCGGCTGAAAGAAAGGAGGGAGGGGAGGGCTCACCAAAGATTATACACTATGCAAGACTCAGTGCGGTCTGAATTCCTCCGAAATAGGCGGATAATTTGCACTTTAAGGAGGGAGGAGGAAGAGGGCTGGACTTTATATAGCCCGCCTAGTCTTTGACTGCTGGGCATAAACTGACTCCTAATTGATGGTCATAAACAAGTACTGAGGAATGTTTGCCGCGATATTAAGTGACACCGTATTTACCAGGTCATATGTTATTTAATGTTTCACTCTATTATTTAAGGTTTTGGAAAGAGACCCAACTTATGCTACTGGAAGCCAGAAAGTGACGCTAGAGTTGCACAATCGTCCTCCCCCCCAACACACACACACACACACACACATACACACACACACACACACACACACACACACACACACCGCATTCAATCTCTCCACTTCTTCCAGAAATGTTAAGCCACAACAGCTCCATTCTCCAAGAAGCCTAATTTTATTTTCCTTCCCAGACATTTGTCGCTTGCAGGACAAGCACAGGACACCTTAATTTGAGTGGCTTCTCAATTTCCAAACGTCTGAAAACCCTCACCTTCCCCTAACCCCGGAAGGGTCCTGTTTAGACAAATGCTTCTTCTCCAGCTGCCCAGGAGATTGGGCCCACACACCTGTGTGCACCCTCCAAGCAAGGGTGGAGATCGCCAGGCGTTCCTCTGGCCCTGGCCCTTGTCTCCCCTGCACACACATAAACACACCCTCAGTCCTTCATCGACTGATCCAGCTTAAAAAAAAAAAAGTATTGTTTTGAAAACCCATGGCCCTCTCCAGGCCTGATATTTAAAAGACTAGGAGACTCTTGATTCCTCCCCTCCTTTCTAAAACACTGTACACAGTGCCCAGACCCGAGTTGTTTACAATTCCTTTCCATTTTGCACACATCAAAAGGAGTATACTGTTTAGAAAATGTTTGAGGCTGGCTCTGCCAACATCCTTTTGAATTTAGAGACAGGAAAAAATAAATAAATGAAATTTTACAAATCCCCCTCCCTGACAGATTTTGGTGTTTCCCGCTAAATCTCTAGTTACTGTCAACACCAGCCCCTCCCCCACATTAACCCCTTCTCGTTCGAATCTCCTCCCTCTTCTTCCATAAGCTTTGCTATGAGCACCCAGTCAATTCTCCCAATCAAGCCCACCAAGCTGGTCTCTGCTGATGTTAATGTACATTCATTCTGCCTGTAGTTGGGGGCTGAGGGAAATGGGAAGCAAGGGAATCACTCTAGGAAGAATTGTTGTTTGTTTTTTCCCTTCAGCTAGAAAAGCAGGAATTTAGTCATTCTTTTGTTTTTGTATGCCCAACACCTAGAACAGCATCTGGAGCTTAATAAGTAATGGGAATTTAATAAATGTCTCTCCATTAGTGAGTTGATTGATGATCCCAGCTTCCTGACAAAGATTCCTACTGGTGGCTGATTTAGGGCCAGTGGATATCGCTGACTGTCACTGACGTTTTCTTCTGAAGTTCAGCTGTTTGATATGGAAGAGACGTTTGCTAATGGCTCTTGGTAAAAACCTAGAGCAAAGTGGTATTATTTTTTTTCCTTTTAAGGTCTCCTTTTATGATCCCTGGACAACTGGCCCAAGAACAGAGACAACAGGGTAAAAATGCAAGGATTCTTGAAGAATTTTCAAATGGTTGCCTCTTTTTTTTTTTCCTTTTTGGTCGGGACTTATCATTTCACCCCTGAAGGAATTAACTCCCTGGTATGGAAATTTCCTCACCTATAATTTCTCCTTTTTAAGAGTGTTGCCCAGGCCACTGAGAAATTGAATGAGTTGTTCAACCTCTTGCAGCCAGTTATGTGTCAGAGACCAAGTTTCCTTGACTCTAAGATGGATCACCACTATGCCTTTCCTGACTCTATTCTATAAAATCCATTGAAAATTGTTCTTTTGTTTAATCTAGTCAGATTTTCAGAGTCTCTCCTATAGTCTTGAGTTGGGAAGGCTGGAGTTGAAGGCTGGTAGCCCAGTGATTGATTGCGAAGACAGGGCTGATTTTACAGTAAAGTTTCTATGTTTTCCCAAACTGCTACTTCAATACCAAATGTCCTGGGGGAACTGTCCTGGTGTTCTGACCACACTGAAATGATCACCAGTGCTATGTAAATAAGACGATACTGCCCTGGATGCTCAGAGAAGAGCAGTGGGTGGTAAGATCTATAAATGCCTGACTCCTGCCACCAGGACCAAGTGGAAGAAGCAAAATTATCTGGCCCTTTAATTTGTCTTCTAAAATCGTGAGAATTTTCAGACTCCTTACAACCAGAGTAATAATGGGCTGAATTCAGTAGAGGCTAATCAGCAGCACATAGGAGACCAGGTGATGCATTTTGGGGGTTATTAGAAGGAAATGAGGAGAGCAATTTTAAATTCAATTAATCTGTACTGAAGAAAAGGAAGCTTTCAAGTTTTATTCTATGTCCATTGAATCAGATGGTGGGACACCACAATAAAATATATAAAAGCTGATCTGTAATTTCATCTGATATGAGGAACTTCCAATGTATAAAATCCCTCCGCCCACAAAGAAGAACAATTTATTTGTACAGTCTAAGGGAATAATTGTTTGCTGCACAGAGAGATTAAGTGTCTTGCATAAGGTCAGATACTCAGTAAACTGCAGGGGCAAGACCTGAACCTATGTCTTGTAGAACCATGGAATTCTTCACCCCCAACTTATATCTAGAGCTGTATGGAACCCCAGAGGATATGGAGTCCAAAACTCTCATTTTACACATATGGAAACTGAGGCCCAGAGAGGTTAAATAACTCACTTTAAAAAAATCACAAACCAGAGTTTGAATCTCAGCCCAACCCCCTCCATTATGCTATGTGACTTAATGTATTTAATAGTTCAAAAGCCTGACACTAAATGGTATACTATTTTCACCCTCTAAATGAGAAAATTAGTCATCTTTGGTTCTAAATGGTATTCCAAAATAGTCTATAAATTGAAGATTAATGGTAATTATATCCTCAGGAAATTATGACCTCTTTTTAAATATTGTTTCCTAAACAATGATGCTTCAAAAGTCATAAATGCTGACAAAACATTTTTTTTAAAAAAACCTCACTCCTACAATTAGAACAGGGAGTGGGGGGTTTAAAGTAAGGGCAATTAATATTTTTGCAAATGCATGAAAAGTCCAATTAAAGTACCCCATTCAAAAATTCCTACCCTTCAAATGAAGTGTATTTACATTATTGTAATTACATTTGTGTTCTATCTTGATATAACCTGATTCAACAGACTTAACAGCAGAAATTATTTCCTGATTATTTCAGTACAAGTCATTTTAAATGGGATGCTTAATGTTCTACATTTCTGAACCAAAGACCCTGATTTTAAAAATATGCAAATCAAGAAATCATTAATTTAGCTATTAGTCTAATTACTATAGGAGTAAGGTTGGAAATATGTGCAAATATGTCCTTATAATGAAGAAAAGGACACCAGTTAAAAATGTAGAGACAATTAAGTAAAACATTCAAAGGTTATGCACACATTTCTGTATTTCCCAAATTATCACACATCCATTTAAAAGTAATTATCAGAAACAGGGAGGAAAAGACTCATAATTGGAAAGTTTGTCTAAGGGCCTTGTGAAGGACTATGTTTCTGTTGCCAGAGGACCAACTGGCCTGGCAAATTCCAGGGAGACTAATCAACAGTTGGTAGGTCATAAGATGATGAATTTTGGGGATTCAAGGCAGTTCATGAAATTATCTTCTAGGGCCTAGAAAGGTTTCATTCCGCATTATTAGAGGGAGTACCCTCAGGGAAGAAATCAGGATCCCGGAATTGAAATATATCTACCTTTATGGCATTATTAACATTTCTTGGTTTGTTTACTAAGTAGGATTTTATAAGTCATTGGGTAAAATAACATTGTAAGAGACTGCTACTCCCATCACCTTTTTAAAGATGTAGGTTAGAATCATAGTTACGGGAAAGAATCCTAATTGATGGAAACATTCATCTTACTTATAGTTTCTTCATCTGCCAAGTTAAATTTAACATGCTACAAACTGCAGCCCCTGCTACTTCTTTGAATGGCATAGATGACAATTCCTTTCCATTTAATACAATGTAGTCTGAAAAAAAAAATTAAAGCACAGATAGATGGAAGACCTGAGCAAGCCAAACTCTAAGCTAAGAATTTATTTATTCCCCAGACCTCTTATTTTTCCCTGAAAAAAAAAGTGGACCTCAGGCTCAGTCTCATCTTAAAATTTCATTAACTAGCTCTTATCTAAAAATTTACCAGCCTCCAGGTGATGGGGCTTTGAATTATTGTGACCAAGTCATCTCCAGATAATTTAGGATCTGGGGTTTGGGGAAGGAGCACCCTCTTCAAATGGTTGTTTTTCATCTGATCTAATCCTTTCATAAAATGTAAAGTGAACTCCTAGCTTGCAGCAGTCTTCCTTAAAATATGGTAGACATGTGCCTTACTAAGGCCAAGTCCACCTGACCTATACTGTAACCTCAGCTTGAAACCAATTCCCTGCCTAGGAATGCTGTTTCTCTGCAGAAACCCTCTCTCTAAGTGTCAGCCCCACAAGCAGTGTGGTGACTTGTTTCTCCATTGTCCTTTCACTGTTTCAGTTATAATTCACTTGTGAATATCTCAAATTTATTGTAAGTGCATTATGATTTGCAAAGGCTACACAACACTGTGAGGTAGGTAATGTGTCTACATAATTCCTATTTTACAACTGAGGAAAATGAGGCTGAGGAAGGAATAGAAATTCAGTCCCCTCAAGTACTCCAGGACTAGCACTCCTTCTACCTCACACTATCCATCCATAGCAATTGAAATCACATAAAAACTGAGAATGTTCTCTAAGAATTGACTTGTCCAAGGTCACAAACTGTTAATGACAGAGCCCAAATCTAACCCATCTCCCGACTCACAGTCCAGTGAACGTTCCAGTATGCTGACATCATACAGCACGGAAATGTCTAGAGTTTAAATTATCCTAACAATGATCAGTTTTCCTTAATTTTGGAAAGCAAGAACCAATACATAAGTGACTGGGAGTCAAAAAAAGCAATGTGTTACACAGCCACTGTGAGTCTGGGAAGTAGGTTGTTGGGCGGGAGGAAGAAAAAGGGCCAGATTTCTTGGATTTGTTTAAATAAAGAAGAGAATTCTGCCTAATCTAGCAGGGATATATTTGAAGAATGGATGGGACAATAGGACATGCTACAGGACAGATTTTGAAAACCCAGCTCAGGAAAGATCAATTGATTACTGGTCTGACAACAGAAAGACCTAGACTAGACAGAGGATGAGAAGTCATTAGAAAGTGATCTCTTCAACATTTCTTTCTCATTAAACTTAATGAGGCTGGCTGACAAAATGGAGTATGGTAAGAAATGTGCTTTGCAGGAGAAAGGTTTTTCAGCCTGCACCATAGGATTTAGAGCTGGAAGATCTTTAGACATGTTTCAATCACTCCCTCATTTTCCAGATAGAGAATATGCCCAGAGAGGATAAATAATATGTCAAGGTCATAAATAGAGTTAAGATTCAAAATGGAGAGATAGAGAAATGTCCCAGGTTTGTGGATAGAGAAGGAGTCTAGAGTCAAAGTGGTTCAAATAGCTATGGAGACACACTAGCCCTGCAACTGGGCAAGGCCCCTAACTTCTAAGTGCCCTGGGGCAACTCTCTTAACACTATAAATGGCAGAGCTTTTGCCTACCTGCACTGTCAGAGTTCTGTGTATCTATGAAATCACAGGTCCAGTAAAAAAAAAAAAATCTTCTACCTACCTGTTATCACAACCACTCTTGGCCTCAGTTCAAAATGAGGCAGTACAGTGGTATAGAGGGCAAACCTTGGGGTCAACAAGATCTGCCTTTCCCACAACTGCGGGATATGGGGCAAGTCACCTCTCAGTGCTGAAAATAGTTCTCTAAGATTATAAATTACAGATGACCTGCAGATCCAAATCTACGTAGGAGGAGAGAGTTTCCATGCAGGGAATTTAAAGGACTATAGGATCATAGATTTAGAGATGTGAGTCACCTTTGTGGTTATCTAATCCTATCTTCTCCCACAATAATGAAATCATAAGTCTGAACACAAAAATACGTCTGTTAATAACCTAGCTCAACGCTGTTGTGAGAATAAAGTGACCATTATTTGTAATATTAGTAATAATGATAATAATAATAATAATAGAGCCCTTTGAAACAATTAAAACGAAGTATACGCCATAATCAAGTGGCTACTTATCAACTGTCTACATACACACTAAAAAGCATTTATTGAATGATGGCTATATATACATATATGTCTTTTTTTCCACTTGTTCCAGTTCCATGTCTCTCTAGCTTCACTCTTATACTACCACCATCCCTACCCCCATCCTGTTTCACCCTACCTCAGGTGCGGTGTGATCCTGAAGTTACGTTCCCACCCTCCTCTTCCAATCTACTGACTTCCTCCGGGCAGTTGGACACCTTTTCCTAGACCGTGGCTCCCGGCCCTCTTACCTTCTCTGCTGGAATGTTTGAACGCCATGGCTGCGGCGAGATCTCCCCCGTGCACGGCCACACCGGGTCCGTGGTGGGCCAGGGGACTGCCCTGAGCGGGCCAGGGATGGCCGGGAGTGAGATAGCCGCCTCCGGGCCCGCCGTACACTCCGTGCTGGTTGGAGGAGGGATAGGCGCAGGCTGGGAGGAAGCTGCCCACGGTGGAAAGACTCGGAGTGGGCTAAAGGGCAGGGGTGAAAAATTGAGAGAGACAGCATTACCAACCAGCCCGTCACCATTGGCCCCTCTTTCTCCGGACCAGGAGTCAAATGGTGGGTGCCCTTCAGGTGTTTTTGAAAACCCTATCGTAGCTTCCAACTCTCTCCCCCTCCCCAACATTCCTTTTTTGCCGCGGGGAGAGGGGCAAGGGGGAGGGGAAATACAGGTTGTCAGTTATTAATCTTGAAGCGAGTCCCTTACTCTAATTGCATTACTTAGCTTGACTGAAAACAATGGCATTTTAATTGACACGGGGTGGGACCAGGAGAAAGGGGACACGCGAGGGCAAACAAGAAAGCGGGAGAATCCAAACAGCAACTCCACGGAGTTCACAGGATGAGGGCTGCTGAGCAAGCACCATATTTGTGCTCTGAGATCTAACCTTACATTCAAAAGTGTCGAGTTAAAACATAAATAAATCCTCTGCAAAGCCAGCTTTTAAATGATAACAAGCTGGGGCGGGAGGAAAGGGGTGTAAGCCAAGAAAGGAACGTGCGTCGCGCTGTTTTCAATATTTAAATTTAGGGGGAAAAAATAGTTACTGTCCCCTTTTTTATCTGGGACTATTGGAAAACCAATACGGGATGCTCTTAATTGTTCCTACAGCATCCCCCACCTTCCATGGCCCTGGTTACCTGTGGGTATTTGATGTCTGCTTCCATAACCGCTTTGTCAATCCCGTTCACTGCTTGTGTGGCTGGGAAACCCGTCCTATTCACACCGGCCCAGTCTTCCATTTTGGGGGAGTAGGCAGAGCCCTCGGTCCCCGACAGTGCCCCTTGAGTGGGAAAAGAGATTGTGAGAAGACAGCTGGGAACCTGTAGAGCCCACTTAGCCCTATAACCTAGACCACGAAGCCGCGCCTTAAGAGGGGGAGTCATTTAAACTCACCTATGTTCACCTTATGCATGACTGTAGTTGAATACACTTTGGAAAAGCCGCGGGAAAACGGACACCCTTAAAACCGGGAAAAAATCAAAAGTAGGCAAAAAGCCGGTCTACTGAAGTTTGTTTCGCTTTCACTCACTGTCTTCAGGGCCCTACTCAAAAGCTCTCTCCGGCCTGCTGTCTGATTTTGACTCTTTCCCGTTTCTCTTCAACACTGAGGCCTTCGGGTACAACTGTTGGGGAATTGTTTCTGGGCAGTATTTGTTGTATGGGACTAGGCCTTACCACCCTACATAAAAGTTGCAGGACAACTTTTTTTTTTCTTTCTGGCGATGGTAAGTGGATACTGGTTAGGGCATTACAAATAATTTCCTCCCCTTTATATTGTTTTAAAAATCCAAGCAAACCAAGATCTGGGGGATAGTTCACCTTGGAGAATACTTTTGGACAACATTCTGGGGGAGGAAGTAAACAGAGGGTAAGTGTCTTGAACACTGATATGTTGATATCAGTGTTTGCATAATATGCAATGATTAGTCTCTAAAGACATTCTGATTTCATATTCCTTTATCAAAAAAAGTTTTAAGATACATATCTGTGGCTTCTAGTGGAGAACACTGACTACCCAAACTGAACAACCTGATCGAAAATTTAATGAAGTTGGGATTGGTCAAAAGTCTTCTGGGCAGCATTTAGGTTTTGAAAACCAATTCCAAAGAAACAATGGATTTGCAGATAGGCAAAACCCCTTGCTGTCTCCTGGAGTTCTAAACCACCATCACCCACCACTTTGACTTCTACTACCTCCCCCTCATTTATTTACCACAGAATGCTCTGACTCCCTCCTTCAGTCTCACTGAAGGGACACAAAGCCTACCCACTTATGGCAAGCCACGGAAAGACAGAGGTCATGTGCACAGGACAGAAAAGGAAATAATTTCAACGACAAACTTTACATGGACAAACTTTACATCTTCCTTAAGCAATGCAAAGAGCCGCCAAAGTAGGCCAGCCCAAAGAGAAATGAATGACCAACTATTTGAATGTGAAGTTAATACAAAAGATAAACCCTAAAAGGCCTTGAATGTAAAGTATTCCCAAGGGGTTTGGGAATAAACCCCTCTGGGATAACCACTGATGTACATTCCAATACCCAGATTCCACAGGCCCCAGAAGAACAAACCTACTTTTAAAATAATAGTGATAATGACAAATTTGAAGACAGTCTTCTTTTATTATGGCTCATAGGTAACCTAGGAGGGGGTGGTGGTAGTGGTAGAGAGGGAACTGAAACCTCCAGGAAAAGGTCAAATAAATGACGGAGATAATTTGTTTTGTTTAGATCTGGCAGAAGATTGCGATATGGATTCGCTGCGCTCACATTCTTTTTGCAAGACTGAAAAAGCGAAATTTCAAGACTCCAAATTTGTGGTCGACAATTTATCATCCCCAAGAAAATATTTTCCACATTTTTCATAAAGCGTTCAAGATGTCCAAGCCGTTCCCACAGATGCCCGGGACCCTAACCCCCTCCCCTCCCTCCCCACCCCAGAGTTAAGTGCTGCTAGCCTTCTGAAAGGTTGGCTGGGGCAGGGGGAGAGAGAGAAAGACTAAATCTGACTCCCGATGCTTAGTCCTTGCCATTACCTTCAGGAGCACACAAGGGCAGCACCCCAACACCGAGAGAGAGAGAGAGAGAGAGAGAGAGAGAGAGAGAGAGAGAGAGAGAGACAGAGAGACAGAGAGACAGAGAGACAGAGACAGAGAGAGACAGAGACAGAGACAGAGAGAGCTTCTCCTTCTGAGTAAACTACATGTATTTAAAGGCCTGTATTGGACTCAGTTTACTAACCTGTTTGCTCCATAAAAGTTCGAATGCCCAGGATGTTGCTGACAGAATGAGCAGAGGGCCAGGACCTGGGGATACTGACGTGTCCCGCGGAAACAGGAACTCCGGGATGATTCCCCATCTTGGTCCCAGTGGGTGACATGGGGTTGGGGTAAGGGTACTGGTAAATATGATTGTAAGGCAGTGCCGGTTGTGGGGGAGGTTGTTTGGTGGCTTCGTAAGGGTTAGGCTGGGACAGGTTCCCAATTTTATTCCTCAAGATCCTGCTGATGGAGCTGACCGAAGGCACGTTGTATTTGTCGCAGACTCCATCGGCCAGGAGTCTGTCCCTAATTTCCCAGGCGAAGATGCCCGGATCCCCTTGTTTGTAGTCCCTGATGTGCTTCACCACATTCGGAGTGGTGACTCGGGGCTTGCTCCCTCCGATCGCTCCGGGGAGGATGGAACCAGTCTCGTTGTACCTCGCCAGTATTTTACTCACACAGCCGTGAGACACTCGGAGCTGTCTGCTGATGTCGCACGGTCGGATGCCGAGCTGGGCCAGTTCCACGATCCGAAGTCGGATTGCATTGGGCAGAGGTCTCCCATTGACGAAAACACCGCCCAGTTGGTTCACTTCTCCGTAAGTCTGTTCTATAAAGGGATGGGGTGGGGAAGGGATGCGGGGCAAAGAGAGGGGAATCGAGAAGAAAACGCGATGATTACTTAGTATCAAGAACTAAAGAGAAAATCCTGCCTATCCCACAAAGAAGACTCACATCCCTTTAAAGGAAAAGAAAAGAAAATTCTCTTCCTGCTCCCTCCTGGACCAGTGCTGATGCGGCAAATCTGGGATCCCAAACAATAAACTTCCGAAAAAAAAGAGACGAAGTCGATATTCATAAACTGACAGCTCAGTCAGTGAATCCCTTAGATCTGAGCAGTCAAAACAGGGTGACCTGACACAGTCTCCCCAAAGTGAGTGCCATTGTGTTAGACAAGAGGATGAGGCAGGAATGAAAGAAAGGGGGAGGGAGAAAAGCACCGGGACTTAAGGCTACGCTCTCATCTCAGACTCCTCAGTTTGCACAGAAAAGCTTCCCTTTGATTACCACCCCAACACACACACACACACACACACACACACACACACACACACACACACACACATTCACTCAAACTTGCAAAAGAAAGTGTTCCCTGCTCTGCCCCTCCGCTGGGGGTGAGCCGGCAGACGCGGCTTCACTGCCTGCCAGAGAAGGCAGGCCCTCCACCCCAGGGGGCGGGAGAGCAAAGAGAAAGAACGAGGATAATGGAAAAGACAAGAACCCCAACTCAGTTTGCTCGCAGTCGGCTGCCTCCCTTACCCATGGCAGCGCGCAGGGCCGGCTGCCTGGCGCCCGAGCGGCTGCTGGGGTTGGGCCGGGCGCAGTCCGGGTGTGCTCTGGTACGGGCGGAGATACATAGAGGGACGGAGAGCGAGAGCTGCGAGCCACGGCCCCACTTCGAACTGGAGACGCTCCTGCTGGGGAACGGGAGCCGGAGCGGGAGCCGGAGCTCGGCGGCGCTGCCTCCCTGCAGCCCCTCGGTGGCCCTCTCCCAGGACACTTTCCAACTCCGGCAGCCCTTAAACCCCAAGGTGATCTTCATCCGATTGGGATAAATTCGTCTGACCAGGAGGCTTCAGTGTATTCGGATCAATTTGACGTGTCCTCCACGTCAATCTCGGCGGTCACGCCGGAGACGCGTTCATTGGCATCTCATTGGTTCCCGTCATTTCGCTCCTGCGGCAGCTTGAGCTAGTCTTCCCTTCTGGTGTGTAACTCTACCTCCCTCCTCCCACCTCTACACCCTCCTCTTCTCCACCTCCCCCACCCCCCAAGCAAGTCATTCCTCCTCCCTCAACCTCACCCCCATTCCATTCCACCCCAACCGTGTCTCACTCATCCCAGACCGAAACCCAAACCCAGGCAGGCACCTCCACAGCCTGGGTGTTGAGCTCTGACCGCAGCCTCGAACCCCTCAAATCACTTCCCTCCTCTTCCCCACTTCTCAGGGCTCACTTGTTAAGTAATCGGGAAATAATTGCAGGTTCGTTGTTGTCTTTATGGAGACCAATGTGTGTACACCAGTTTGTGCCCTCGATCAGGGTCACGGTGCCCGTCCAGTTTTCCCTGCTTATTCTTTGCTACTGCCGTTGTGGTGTGGCTGCTGCTGCTGCTGCTGTTAACAGCTTGTGAATTCGATTCCTTTAAGGGGGAGCTGATCCGGATGCCAGAGTTATTTCATTGACTAAAAAGGGTACCCGAACTCAAACTTTCTAACCCCCTCAAGGCTTGGCCCATCAACCCAGACAGATTCCTTTTTTTAGGAGGTGAAAAATGACTGTGCCTAAAAGGAAGGGTGGATCTTTGAAGGTCGTCCAGGCTAGAAGTAGCAAAGTCCCTTTCTCCCATTCCCTGTCAAACTTGCGCTTATAGGAAATCATTTGCAAATAATCCAACCATTTCTGGTCTTTTGCTTAGGCGTCGGACAACACCATCATCCCAAACACATTTTTCACTGTCCGCTTCTGGTTTTCAAAGACACCCAATTTCAGTAAATCTGCTTCTAAGGTGACCGGACTATACATGGACTGAATTAGCTTCAAGACTAATGAAACCTCGGAGCAGGAGAGTGTAGAGAATGAAAGAGTGCCCCTCTCTCTCTCTCTCTCTCTCTCTCTTCTCTCTCTCTCCTCTCTCTCTCTCTCTCTCTCTCTCTCTGTCTCGGAGACCTTAGGGGACCGAGAGATTCTCTTACCAGGGATTTCAGTGTTCTAACCATTTTCATCACATATTGAAAATTGTTTTTGTCCTTTGAAATAAATGGGCAATTATGGATTGTCCCGCTGGAATTCCCTTTTCTTGGCTATAAAAATGAAGTCAGGAGCCGCAAATCTATGAGAGCTCCCAATTCTAAGCTCCGAACTAGTTTAGTACAGTTTGGAACTGGAGAAAAAACCTTGTGCCACGGTACAAATGTACCTAGAAGAAGACAGTATCAGGGGCTCAGAAGGAGGGAGGGGGAAAGGAGAGTGAGACAAGGGAGAAAGCAGAATAACCCTGGGCAAAGAAAACTAGACGCCTTCCTCCACGGGTGGTCCGTCTTCTGGTTCAGGTCCCCAAGCCTGTGCTTCTGTGATTCCGAGTCTCAAGAATGGTCCCAAAGACCAATGCCTAGGCCGAAAAACCCAAGAACCCGCCTGTGTGCAATTTGTCAGGACCGAGTCCGGGTTGCCAATCTGAGCCGCAGTTATTTCTCCCGCAAAGACTCACAGATGGAAAAGATCAGCGTGGGCCAAGACAACAGGCTGGCCCTGACCCTTTTACCTTGACTGCTTGACCAAAGAGAATCGTTAGTTCCTAAGCAGCGTATATGAATATGTCAGTTAAACGGATCAAGGCCATAAATCCCCACTGCGCAGGCTGAAGCTTTTCAGAAGAGCCTGGAGGAGCGAAGTTGAGGGAAGGAACTCTCTGTATTGATCTGGAGTTAAGAAGGCGGGAATGGGGTGGGTAAGGCTCGAGGAGGCCAGCCAAGGACAAGACTTCGCCTTTTTCAAAGAAAGTTTGGATTTTAAATAAGTGTCTAGAACAGTCACTTGGGATGACCACGAGCGGATCTGTTGTGCGAAGGGCAAAGAAAGAGCCTAAACATTAGCTTTGGGGAGCCTTCTGAAAACATCAGGGGTGGCAGTGGTTAAGGACATGGAGAGTACAGGGGAAAGGATAAAGCAAGGCCTCAGGCGGGGAGTGGAAAAAAAAATCAGTTTTTCTTTTCCCCCCAAAGACAGCCTTCCCTCCTGCAGGCCATGAGATAGAATTTGGGTGTTGAGTTTGTAATTAGAGGGAGCATTGGATTTGAGTTAGCTTTCGTCTGCATCAGCGGGACATCTACCGGGAAGTCTGTGCCAGCAAATCCAGTAGCAAAGGTGTTTTTGTTTTGTTTGGTTTTGGTTTGGTTTTTTTGGGGGGAAGGCGTGTTGGTTGCTGTAAAGATAATGCTTTCAAAAGGACACACAAAAAAAGGGGCCAGTGAGAACAAAAAAGATTGATTGAGGCTCAATTAGTTTTGTTCAGAGAACGAGACATTTCTGTCACTCTCCCTCTGTACCACGCTATTCTTTTAGCGGCTTTCGTTCATGACTTTCAGAATCTGACGTCGTGAGATTGAGTGAGGATCATGAGACACGAGCAAGACCTTGTCCACCTTCGGTAGCTCCGTTACCGTCATAAAGGCCGCTTGGTCACTCAGGCTGATCAACTGTGTTTCTTCTCGCAGGAGCTCACAGGAGAATTCCAAGACACTCTCTTAACAGAGCACCGGCCAACCATTTAAACCTCACGATATGTCTTTTCATAGCAGCCGCAAGAGATGCTGAGTTCATTTGTGAAGAAAGTGCTTTGTAAATCTAACGGGCAATAATAAACACTAGCTTTATACTTATTGGGATGCACTGAAATTTATTTAATATGCATGTACGAAAACTTGCCTGACAGAGCAGTTAGCTTAAGGAGTTATTTTTAGCCCCTAATAATTTTGACAGGTAAAATGTTCACTTTAACCTCTCCCTTTGGAGAGAAGGCAATCTACTTAAAGCATCTTTTGAAGGAAGATCACTTTGAAAGCAGCCCCCAAGTTTATGGAGCAAAGGTATAAAAGGAAAGGTATATTAATAGCGATAAGAACAATAGAAAAACTTATGGGGTCAGGTTCCTGCTGCGGCTGCTGCTGGGGTGTTGGAGGCGGCTGCAAGCAGCAGCCGCAGCTAATGTCGAGGCAGCCGGTTTAGCGAAGTTTGGACCACACAAAAGCTTGCTCGCGGCCGCTGCTGCGAGAAAAGCTGGCGGTTTGTCGCCCCCTGTCGGCAAACAGGCTAATGGCTGCGCTACAGCCTCCGCTTTTGTTAAGGGATTTACCTGGAGGCTAGTTTTAAGGATCAAACGGTAAGAAGCCGGGTTAATTTCTACCCCTATCCAGACAGAGATCCTGGCCTTCCTCGCCCGAACTTCTCCCAAAGAGTCTAGATCCCCAGGGAATCCCTGGGGCGAGAGCGCTGCAGGTAACTGACTTTCTGGTTTTTTTGTTTTCACTTTTGTCTTAAGGACTCTACCCCGGATTGTTGAGCTAATAATAATAGTCACGGTCCGGGAGCCCCTTTGATGTTGCCGGAGCTCAGGGTCTGGTTAAAGAGGCAGCTAGTACTTGGAAGGACTGGGCGTCTGAGGGAGCCGCGAGTGTCAAGAACCCATTTTGGCCTCAGGCTGCTGGGAATCTGATCAGTCGCGGCTCTGGTCCCAGGAGTAATTCACAGCAAGCAGTCACATGGCACGACCAGGAAGAAGGAACACAAATTCGAGGGTATAAAAGCAGTCCCTGCACCCTGTCTTGTTTTGGTTCTCTTAGTGGCATTTCACTTAATTCCATTATTAATAATAATAGCAATGATAATAGACAATAGATAGCCACTGTCCTTCAATGACCGACTTAAAAGTAAAGAGGGGCAAAGGGGGGGTCAGGATTTGAAAGAATAGAGGCCCAGTAATACCGCAGGGAGCTAACCCCCTGCCAGTTGTCACCGGGCCCATGCCATAACCTCTGGCCTACTGGTATCCCAGTCATTCCTACGGCTTCTTCTCAAACTCCCCCTCCCCTCCCACATACAACCGACTGAACGAAGGCAAACTGTTTGTAAGCTAATGTTTCGGTCTGACAAGGTACGAACTTTTGATGGTTCTGGGTAAAAAAAGGAACAAAAAGGCACGATGTGTTTGCGTGGTATCTTAGACTGTTTGCAGAATTTTCGAATTAACCCTGATCCTGTTTCGGTCTGAAGCGCCTTCGTCTGTACAGGTAACCCTGGGAGATTTTTGGACCAGCACAGAAGAAACGTTCTTCTGATTCGACTGTGGAGAGGGAACTCAGGGATTTTGTAGAGAGGAATGAAAATTAAATACACGTTTATTAATGAGCCCCGCAGGGAGAAAATGGAAAATTAGTGAATGGGCCGTAACTAGTCACTCAGTTATGTAATTCCAGAAACTTAAGCTGTTAGAGCACCTTGGAATTCATGTAATCCAACCCCTTCATTTTACAGATGAGGAAACTGAGATCCAAGACGGATTCTCAAATGGCACTTTCCTGTTCCTGCATAGTCCCAGAAGCTTCAGTTGAAACCTCAAGGACTGAGATCGAATGGGGATTTCCGAATCAATAAGTAACCATCTAAGTGTCCAAAGCAAACTGCAGGTCCCAGCCTTCAATGACAAGTTGGATAGTTAGAAAGATACAAGGCTCTAAGCAATAACTTGTCCTCCCAGACAGCAGGCTGGGTGGGGCCTCAGGGGGCCTCTTTGCCTGCACATCAACATTGGGATCCCAAGCAAACAACCAAACGTCTTATTCAGCTCAGATTGAAAAGGGGCAATGTGGCAAAACTCCAATCTATTTTTTAAGAGTCGTTTAATTGAGATTGGTATTATTTGGAGACTCCGGAGAATCAAAACCAAAGAACCCAACGTTCTTGTCCTCCTATAAACCTGTCCTTTAGCAAGGGGGAGGGGAGTGGAGATGCAATGCTGCCGAGACAAGTCCCTGACTGGGGTTTGTTGTGTCTCGCTCCTGGTGTACAAAAGAAACTTTTCGTCCAGGAGTGAGTGCCTG